GTCAGTGTACTTGAAGAATCTGAAGTTAAAGTTGTGAGGTTGTTTTTGGTTTTTCTTAAATATCACCAATGAAGTTGACAAATCTAGGCCTGGTAGAGCTATGAAATTCAAGTTCACATGGCAAGACATGCAGTAGTGATTTAGTGCATATTCCAATTCCAAACTTTTTTTTATTCATGTGATCATGTTCAAAATGATCCTTTTTATATAAACGTACTCTTCCCAGTAGTATGAGTTTGTGTGGAGTCCATTTCTTCACTAACAATACAATAAAAGATAGACTCTGGTAAACAGAGACTGGTGGCTGTAAGCGGGTTTATTGCCAAGCCTCATGATGTGGTATTCACAAGAGAAATGCCTGCCACCACAGAAGAAGTCTTATCCCTAATATTGGCTATTAACTTATTCTATACTGCCCTGACTCACATTTTATGATCTTATTTTCTTAAACCAAGCATCCTCATTGCCAGGAATTCAGAATCAATCATGTTTATCACTGACTCATACAGTGCTGCAATCTGTCTTTTTGTGTCTTGTTTCAGGATACTGAGACTTATAACTGGCAATGCCTCATGTTACAGGCACAGGTCTTTTATTGCAAGTAAAGAAAAAAACAAGTCTTGTAGGCTCAAAAGTAATTAAATAAATTGATGAATGTTTTTGCAATTGGTGTGTTATTAAGATGATGACCTTTACATTCCAGATGATGAAACAGGTGCTTTGATTGTATATCTGTCATTGAGCTGTAGGTGCCTCAGATGAGGCTTTTTTCCATCCTAGACAAAGGGAAAGGCAAAGAGAAAGGCAAAGGGAAAGCTATGAAGAGCGTGGGTGGTGGTGGGGAAGGCATGAGTAAACAAGGTTGTCCTTGACTTGGCATTGAGTGCCAACAGCACTCATCACTATCAACACACGTTTATTAACTTGAGTGACCCGCAGCAGGAAATGAAAGCGCATATGGGCCCATCCCCCCCTATGTGGCAAGCTCTCATACACACCCATGTTCCACTTCCTCACGTGTCTGGGAATGAGGGGGAGGGCTTAAAGATCCACTGAGAAGTGGGTTGCCAAGTTGGTAGAATAATACTCCACACACAAATTTCACCCCTTGCCTCACAACACAAATTTTTAACCCCCAATTCTGTCTGTACTGTATGATGTCATCCGGAGGTGGACAGAGCTTTCAAATCCTTTACTTTCTTAAGTTTCATTGCTTCAATAATAGTCCTTTAAAAGTACATGACCAGGCCATAGCTGTCCAGTGGCCTGACCTTGCTCACAGTGCATGGTATGGTAAATAACAGTCATCAGTATAAGTGAGACCATGTAATATTCAGAGTAATCCATTAGACTAAATGGGCCAAACTATAGACAGGTGAGTGACAGACTTCAGTGATTGCTATGCTGTAGTCATGGAGCTTTGTGCAAAAGCGGAAAAAAAGATATCTCTCTCTGATGGTTACACCTTACATTTTGAAAATTGCACAGCTCAGATTAGACCCATCATCTCTGTGCTCAGAGCCAGGATCTCTGGACTTCTGCTGCAGCTCTGGTGGGTGTATTTTACAACGACTACTGTGTTGGTAAAAGCCCCGCATTATCTAATGTGCATGGAGGAGGTTGTCGGAGATTGCATCACTGCTTTGTTTCATATTTGAATTGAGGGCCCTGGATCTATTGTCCTGGGGCACGGACCCATGACATGAGAGGGAAAGCCATGCTAAACTGACATAACACTGACGCATCAGTGAGGCCAGGGCTAGAAAGATGACAACTCATGCACTTGAACACATACTTTATTGCATCCTTCATACTGTAGCTGTATAATATCATGACTGACTCGCATGGAATTTGTAGAGTCATGGTTTGCCCTAAGCAACGAGTTTCAAGATAACTAGCACAATGAGAGACAGGCTGAAATTGTGGGTTTTCTGTGCTAGTTTCACTTTCTCCAGTAACTACCAACAGCATGACAGACATGTATTTTGAATTCTGAAAGCACCTAAAATTATACATTTTAGAATGTATTCTCTGGTTTTCTTTACATCTGATGAGAGTCCTTCGTGTTACATAGTTTAGTGCACATACAGAAACACACACATTCCTCCCTGAGCACACTGTTGAGGCCCACTCTACACCTTTGCAATCACACAACTAAATCCTTCACATGGTAAAATGACACTACCATGGTTTTCTTCCCGTAAGATGGACTGGCATGATTAAGTCTGTATTGTTCTGTTGATCCTTGGATCAGAGGGTCTGGGAAGCCCATAGTGTATCCTGTAGCACACACACACACACACACACACGCACACACACACACACTATTTCTTCTCCTCATAGCCACATTTATTTCACACCAGACCACCAGGGAGTCCCTGCCTGTGGGACCAGTGGAAAGAGAAGAGTGGGTGCCCTGTTCAAGTGCTGATCATTTAATCCCCTCCCTGCCCGGGTCTGGGATTCTTTCTTCCCATTTGTAATCCCAGCACAGAACTGGAACATCAGAGATTAGTGCGTGATTAGGCTGTAACCGTCCAGTGACCTGAGCTTGCCTACAGTACCTCAGCTTTGTCTGGTCTGGCACACCAGTCAGACCCATTAGGTCAACTGCCATTCACAAAGAAATTTCCAGTTTGGATCTGAAGCTTTATGGTTGACCAATAATCCTTTACTCTAGGCCCATGCACCAGAATGTGGAGCTGTCTCATCTCTTACCCACTAACCTGCATTGTTCAGTTGCAACTTCAATCCTTGTCATTGGTACAGTATTATTGCAGATATTACTCTGAGGCTATCAGTGATGCTTGTCTCCTGACATTCTGTTGTATAATATTGGGGGAAAAAAGACCACAGAAAGATGCTTCTGGATTGCGGTTTGCATGTTATCTTACAACAGCTTGCTGCTCTTGCTTTGAACAGAACTATAATAACAGATCCTCAAATATTGCTGTCAGGGGTCTGTTTATAGCAGCAGCCAGAACTCAGCGATCTACCACTGGAGAGCATGTTACGCTACAAAAGGATGTTGTTCTCTGAGATATAGATGATGCACAGTGAAGACACGAAGACTTTATAAACAGTGATAAGCTTTGTTTGTTTGTGGTGTTGTAAATATATTTTAGTGACACAGCAAAAAAGTTGAACCTGGTTTTACTATTTCTACAATGCAATAAAATGTCACCCAACAGTGACATGTGCTGGGCAGTAAAACATGTGCACATTCCAGGTAGAGTGCCTTGTTCCATGTAGATGTGTGCTAGACACTACTGCTGCTGCCATTAACCTTGCAATTGTAGGGTAGAAATTTCTGTGGCTGTATTTATTTTGCCGAGATGTGTATTCCTGCCTCATAGCAGTATAAACCGGTGTGTAGTCTCTCAGCATGATAACGCTTCATTGCATGGATGCACAGAAAGCTGGGTATGATACGGTGAGACCGCCTTGCTGCTAGTTTTTCCGAGTGGCCAACTGTTGTACTACAACATGAAACTCCCCTGCGATTTACAAAACACTGTCCCCACGGACCACCAGTTTAAAAAAGACACCTGTAAAGCTGTTGGCAGGACACCTTGAACAGTAAACAAGGGAACTTATTACTGTTGTATTATGAATTTTTAATCCATGAAGATTTTGTATATGTAAAACTTTCCCAAGGCCTAGAAGAGCTTTTTTTTATGTGTGTAACATAATCTCAATGTAAAGTCTGTGGGTTGGGTCACAGGTGTAAACGCTCCCAAGACGCATTGAGGATGCATTTCAGATCTGATCACTCAGACCAAATTCGGAGGTGGTCTGGGCCACATGTGGCCACATTCTTTTAGCAGTGTGAATGCAAATGTGTCCTGGGTCCAACTATTTAACTGACTTCCTCTGCAACAGTCTCATATTGGACCAAATATTTTATTATTTCAAAGAGCTCAATCTTTATTTCATTGTAGAGCTGTGACCAGCACATTGATTCGCTCAACCCATATTTGTCCTGCTCCCTCTCCCTCTGTCACACACAAACACACTGACCTGTCTGTTGGATTGGCTAAAAACAACAACGCATACGTATCTAATTGCATCTAGAGCGGGAATGTGAGATCTGATCACTGGTGTTCACTCAATGCACATGTGTAGATGCATTTAATATCAGGTGTGAACTGATGTGCTTAGAGCTGTTCACTTGTGATCAGTTCACCTGAAACCAATATTAATGCCATAGCCAGGTCTAAACAGGCCCATTGGCTACCTTCTTCATGTTCTCTCAATCATTTTTACCTCTACCAAGGAGGTTATGTTGTCACTCGTGTGTTTGTTTGTCAGCTGGATTATGCAAAAAGTAGCCAATTGAATGGAAATACAGTGAACTTGGAGGGCCAGTGAAGAACCCATTAAATTTTGGGACAGATCTGGATAATTTACTATGAATTTTCTCTAAAGTCTGGTGTATGTTGTTTGTCATTAGCAGAGGTCTGTGCTAGTAACACCTAGTAACACCTTGAAATTCTGACTTGCCATTTGAAACCCATTTACGGATTCCACTCCATCACACCTTTCAATTTAGCCCCCATTAGCCTACAACTGAGACACGAAAACTCAAGACAAAAATGTAAGAGAAATGGCTAATGTGAAATTTCAAGTTCCTTGCCTTCATTTTAAATTGTCTGTTGCACTTTGCATGAAAGGATATTTGATGTTGCAAGAACAGGACTACATTTACAACCTGCAGTCTGTCTCCAACTAATAACAACGATAAAACTTGGGAGAATATTGAAAAAAAGATGATTTCAGTGTTGAGTTTTTGTGTCTAGTATTTTTCCTGTTCTACCCTCCCCCCTGTTTTCTCTGCTTCCTCTTTGTTTGCTTGATCTGCTTGATCCTCTCCGAGGTGCCTTGTCTCCTCCCAGCGACAGCTGCGGATCTGTGATTGGCTGGCTGTGGGGAGAGGTGGGATTTGTCGGCTGTTTTTCTAGTTACAGGATGAGCATAGTCTTCAGTTTCGGTAGCAGCCAGTCACAACGGACGACACAGGCGTTGCCTGAAAACGTTTTAAGCAGTTTTTATGGCTACATAAGTAGCCTTTTATTACGTGTACAAACAAGGAGAATATCCAGCCCGGTGGAGGAGTTTTGTTATTTGTCCCACGACAAGGATAAGAAAGGGAATAAGGGATTTTGTCTCGGGCTCTGTCCTTCCTGTTCAGCCCTTTGTTTTTCAGTGTTTCGCTCGAGCAGGCGACCAGCAGCGCCCCCGTGCGAACCAGCAGAAGAGAGTCCGAGGATAGGGAGCCAGACGAGCGGCCGAGTTTCTTGCCTCCCGTGCGACGTGGGTCCCCCCAGCTCAGCTGTCCGATGCGGAGTGAGGATGAGTCCCGCTCTAGAAGCCCTCATGCAGGCGGACGGGACTCCTTATCCCGGAAAAGGGGTGATGCTTGAGCCCTTCGTGCACCAGGTGGGAGGCCACTCCTGTGTGCTACGATTTGGGGAACAAACAATCTGCAAGCCCCTTATTCCCCGGGAGCACCAGTTCTACAAGAGCCTCCCCCCAGAAATGAGGAAGTTCACGCCTCAGTATAAAGGTAAGACCCCAATCCATCTTAAACCTGGAGGAAATATCAATTGTCACAACGGAGCATGAGTGATGTTGTTTTGCTGCTCAGCATGAATCCTTTCTCTCTTCTTCCTCATCTTTGTGCTAATAATTTGTAATATATGCTGTACTCTTGGCTGCATTTAGTATCTCAAATGGCAAAAAAAAAATACATCCATTTAGATCTTGAGAGAGAGATCTTGCCTTTAGGTAAAGGGTGGTGATTGGTTGTTAAGTGGGCTTGAAGAACATGGCGTACACAACAACACACTGCAAAATGTATTTTGATATTTATAGATGGATGCATTCCTGTTTTCACATATTGTGACTTGTGTACAGAGTCGCTAGTGTTGGCAGATGACAGGCACTGCTTCCAGTTTTCTGGATGTAATCCTGATGTTTGTGGTGGGTTTCATGTAGCATCTTAGCTGATGGCCTGACTTCCTGCCAGGAGGATGAGTAGCCAGAGGTCTTTTAAGTGCCCTTCCTGGCTTTTAAGAAGGCTACAGTTTCAGGATGAGATAGAGTTCAACGGGGATCAGAAATAAATGGGACAGATCACCAGGGGAGTAATTCACAAGCCAGTTGAGGAGATTTTAAGGTCTGGTTTCAGGTCCATCACAGAAACATAGACACATACACATTTTCATCTACACACACACACACTTGTAATTGGAATATCAGATTCCCTGGATGCGTCCAGGCCCACCGTCTCTCACAGTTTCACCCACAGACAAAGACACCCAGTACATGCAGGTACAGACGTCTTTAGGGGGCCGTATGACGGAGGTAAGACACACGCATGGTATCGGACTTCTCAGTAATGCAGCGTGGGACTATAAAAAGATCCAGGAAGAGGATTGGGATTTGGAGAGCAGATAGTAGAGGACTTCTGGGGCCTTTGAATGCTCCTCACCATTGGCACTCTCCTGTCTCTTACACATCACACAATAGTAAGAGCAAAAGCATGCATGGGACACCTTGCAGTGGCCTGTAATTGGAATGAAGTTGACAATGAATGCACAAAATATTGTGAACACTGAGGCTTTCATGAAGATGTAGATGACGAGATGTACACATTTTAGGTGTGGACGTTAAAGCTTTGAGCATGATTGTAGCATTATCTGTATTCGCTGTAAATCATGATGGTCATTTGCAGGATAGGACAGCCAGAACTTGAGAACCCAATAAAATGATTGATAATGATCTGCAACACTTTCAAACTCCTGCCAGTATGTTATTGTCAATTTATTATTAGGCTGTAAAAATCTTAAGCGATGCATGTTTATCACTAATTTATGAGCCTTTCTATCGAATTAAGTCCGAGTGACTCATAAATTCCCACACTTGGCTGTGTGGTGTGATGACAGTGCAGCTCTGAGCAGACACCACGGTCCGTCAGTTGGACTCTAGAGGCGGGGCTTCTTGCAGGCCAGTGATGTCAGTGCACATGACATCAGAGAGGCCTCGGGCTGCGGAAGAAATATGGATGCTGGGTCCTCAGGCCTGACGTTTTACATGCAAAAACACCACGGTTCTCTCTAATGTAAAAGTCAGCTCTTGTGGTCAGGTTTTTCCCTTTGTAAACGTGTCATTTATTCTGTTGTTGTTTTGTAATGTGACTACTCCTCCTATTACTTATATTGCTGGATGCAGTGTACCATGTATCAATTTGGTTGTTGTGTCCATATCTCTGCCATTTTCTCTCTTGATCTATTTCAACCACATCCCTTCTTCCTGTCTGTGGTTTATCTGTATCAGCCACTGCAGCTGTGATGTTTATTCTCAGTGTCACACCTCCCCCACCCTGCGATGCACAGGCCCTTCTATGGACTTTAACTGGGGGCCCGGGGGGGTACGTGTTTGTGAATCATGTCATAAATTAGCGTGGGCATTAAGGTACACTGTGTTTCTTAAATCATTAAGAGGATTCTAGAAACACCTGTTGTCCCATTTCCAGCTTGCTGGTTTGTGTTTGTAAAATTGTGTTGATAATCACCTCTAAGTGGACTCTGTAAAACATTAAAAAAAAAAATTGACCTCGAGATGTATTTTCAAGCGTTCCACAACTTTGTTTGTTTCATTTAAACATGGTCATGGACTGTGTGGACTGAATCATTGCATATTAATACTCTGTACTATGGTTATGTGAATCTTCACTGTGGCTTGTTTTGCTGCTGTTTCTGTATGTGGAAAGAGAGAGCTGTATTTCATTTTCCCATGACAGCGTGAAACTCTGTATCATGAGTTACTGTATGTTTTTCATGAGGATGTTCAGCAGTTGCTTAATAAATGACCTGCTCACTTTGATACATTTCATCCTTTTGTGGTATTTTGTGTGTCTTGTTTTCTGATTATTTTGTGATAAAAACACTGTGCTGTCTGTTCATGTGCTGCTTTCCTCTTTCATCTCTTCCTTTCATTTCCACTTTCTGTGTGTGGGTGGACATATGATCAGACTGTCTAAATGTGTCAAAATCTTCCAGGAAATGTGTTTTTAAAATGTAAACATATACATATATGGAAAGTGTTGTCCTGGCATTTTATTGAGGAAATTATTACCAAACGAACAAAAAATACTAATAACTACTCTCCTCCTCTCCTCTTTCAGGTGTGGTGTCAGTCAGTTTTGAGGAGGATGAGGAAGGGAACCTGTGCCTCATTGCCTACCCCCTCCACAGTGAATCAGGAGACCTGGAAAACAAAGATCCCTCAGCAGACTGCGAGCCTAAGACCAAGATGCTGAAGTGGAGCAACAAGAAACAGTCCACTTTGCTTCTGGAGAACGACAACTACAGCAAAGAAAGAGCTCGACACAGTCGTAAGGAAGACAAGATCATGAGGTGAACATGTTTGCCTTAGTACCTTCATGCGATTGTAGACTACAAGACAAGTCATCAATAAGTTCTGTAACACTAAAGTTGACATTTGTCTGTTTTGTCACCATTCGCAGTTATAATCGTGATGAGGTGGTGGTGCAGCAGCAGCAGCAGGCGGAGGTGCTCTACTTCAGCCTGGAGAAAGGCAACGTGGTGCCACAGATCAAACACAACCCCTGGAGTCTCAAATGTCACCAGCAGCACTTACAGAGGATGAAGGAGAATGCAAAACACCGTAACCAATACAGTATCCTTTCATGACTAGGCGTCTCAGTGGGCGGTGAAGCACACAGTGATGGATGGATCTTGGTTATGAATAAAAGTTTGAATATACTGTGTTAGTTTGTGGGTCTTTTGTTGTCGTGTGATCCTTGACCCCCTTTCACAGAATTTATTCTTTTGGAGAACCTGACGTGGCGCTACACAGTACCATGTGTCTTAGACTTGAAGATGGGAACTCGCCAACATGGGGATGATGCATCAGAGGAGAAGAAAGCCAATCAGATCCGCAAGTGTCAACAGAGCACATCTGCCTCTATTGGAGTGCGACTTTGTGGCATGCAGGTATGGTAGAGATGCAGCTCAGCTCCTCTACATTTGAATTCTCTTGTGGTGCTTACACTGTGCCTGGGGAGCTGTAATACTCATGTTTCTGTGTGACTCCTGCAGGTATACCAGTCAGACTCAGGCCAGCTGATGTTCATGAATAAATACCATGGTCGTAAGCTGACCCTCGCAGGTTTCAAAGAGGCCCTCTACCAGTTCTTCCACAATGGGCGTCGCCTGCGTCGAGAGCTGTTGTCCCCGGTGCTACGCAGACTCCGCGAAATGCAAGCTGCCCTGGAAGCCTGCGAGTCCTACCGCTTCTACTCTAGCTCGCTGCTCATCATCTATGACGGAGACCCCCCCAGGACTCCCACTAGACCAAGACACCGTGGTGGGGAGGAAGGTGATGAGGATGAGCCATCAGATGAAGAGGAGGAGGAAGAGGAAGATGAGGAGGAGGAAGAGGAGGGGGCTTTTGGTTTCCCTCGTTCCTCCTCAGCAGGTGGCAGCAGCAGTGTGGCTGCAGCGAGCAGTAACAGTGGCAGTAGTCGCCCCTCCCACGGCTCAGGAGAGGCCAGCAGCCCGGTGGTGGACGTGCGCATGATTGACTTTGCTCACACCACCTGTCGGCACTATGGAGAAGACAGTGTAGTGCATGAAGGCCAGGACAGTGGCTTCATCTTCGGCCTCCAGAACCTGATTACTATCATTTCCCAGCTGGAGGATCACAGTACTGACTGAAGCTGCAGTGGAGTCTGAATGGTCTGAATTTCTAGCCTGGGAAAAGGCTCGCTGAGCTGAAACCCCTGCTACTCCAAGGTGCATCGTCCTTATGCCTACATGGGGGTCTGACCCTCCTCTGCTTGGAGGGAACCTCAGACACCTCAGGGTCAGGGGAGAGTCTGTGTGGTCGTTGTGCACTCTCCCTCACTTGCCAGAGGACAGGGCTGCCTGTGCCCTTACTTGCACTTTTCTCTTTCTGAGACTGCTCCTTTTCTTTGTTATTCGTGGTAGGAGAAATGTTGTTCAAGACAGAGGTCTCTTAACAAACACCAGGACTCCTGTAGCATCCTAGGACTCTCCTCCTCTGGTACAGACAAGTTTCTTTATTGTTAAATTCTCTCTGAGAGAGAGAGAGCGAGGCAGAGATAAGTGAAGCTCAAGTGTAGTTCTAGGAGCCTGACGTGGTGCTTTACCTGTGTTATGACATATGTGTTTTTTTTTTGGATGAAGTTTGGACTACCAGTCCCTAACAGCACAGCACATTATTAGTGGGGAAGATGACTATACAAGCTGACCATGGCTGGCTAGGTCAGCAGCCTTGTAGCAATTGACAACTTAAGCTTCTGATAAGGACATTTTGTGTTTATATTGGTGTCTTTTAAGACCCTCTTAACAAACAAGGTTTGTGTGTCCACCGGGCACTTGGATTTACACGTTTTGGTGGAAGAACAAGATTATTTAGGTCTAGAAGAAGGGATTTGCCTTTTTTCAACAGTTGTTCTCCCCTGTCCCTTTTGCCTATAAACACAAGACATTTTGAAAAGGGGATTGCAAAGGGGATATTATCCTTGTTTTGTCACTGTCTTTGTTTTCATCTGATTTTTCCTCTTCATTCCCGAAACTTTGACTAAACAAAGAGAATATATTGATTAAAAACACTAGTTATAAAGACTATATAGAGACTATTTATTTGAAAGGATTGTTTAAAAATACAAAAAAACAGTGGAAACAAGTACATTCCATATTACCACTATAAATGTTCTGATACCGACTTTGATTTATTTTGTTATTGCAAGAGCGGATACCTCTCTTGTATACCTGTGTGTTAACAGTGTCTTGGTTAATAAAGGCATTCATTTGTGGTAAAAAAAAAAAAAAAAAACATGGTCTATGGTCATTTATGTTCATTTACTGTGTGTGTGTGTGTGTGTGTGTGTGTGTGAGAGAGAGAGAAATGCATTTACTGGGCAGGAAGTAGTGAAGTGGGGAAAGGAAAATGAAATATGAGCAGGGAAGTGAAATGTGAGCAGTGAATGCAGCTGTAGAGTGTTGCTTTAACAAAAGGATGCAGTGCTGAGGGGAAAATGAGTCATTGTTTCGACAGTTAGTCATACTCCAGGAAATATCGACGTTTCGACCTAATCATCCTTCACCTTACACAGTACGACCAACTTATAAATCTTAATTATACACTGATGTGACGAATGAAAATTAGAAAATCTAATTCAGTTTTCCAATTTTCTATTTTTCATTTTTTGGACAGAAAATTGAACTGCCAAGCATGGACTCTCCTTCAACTGAGGGATGCAAAGTGATGGACGACCTTTTCAGTTAGCCAAGAGACGACGTCTAAATAAATTAAGCAAAAACATGTTCCAATAAGTTATTTGTGTAAAATAATAAACAGAGTGAATGTAACCACTATAAAAACATTCTTTAATGTCACCAAAACCATAGAAACACTGGGCTAAGCTTTTGATTTCAAACCAAGTTGACAAATGATCAAGGTTCAAACTTTAAAGACCCAATTTAACTCATCCAAATTAAGTAGAACAAATTTGCCATTTTACCCGAATCATCTTCAGCTGGCAGAATGTTTGCAGACTTGTTTAAAGATCAGAGTGGAGAAATATGTTTTTCTCTGCAGTGAGATGGTTGAGATTTTATTGCAGATCATTCAGTTGGTGAGAGCTGTAACACCAGAATGCCGAGACAGACAAAACCTGTGGGCCTGGTTGACATATGTGATGTGATGATGTTGTGATGGAATTTGAATTTACTGTAGCAGCCTTAAACAAAGTGTTCGTACGTAGTAACAAGAGGTCATGATGTGAGCTAAAACACCAGGACCTGGTGCTGTTTACTTCTCTTCTGAGTGTAATTTACATCATTTAGACAAATTCATCCACAGGAAACTCAGTGCCAAGAGAACAGGCTTTGGGATTTTTCCTTTGTTTTCACAAGTTCATTTCAGACAGTGTAAATACAAAGATTGCAAACATTACTTTCCATGCGTCATCATAGTCACAGAGTTCATTATTAAGCAGTTTAGTTTGGGTTTTTGGCCCAGTTGCCATTCAGTGGTGACATCGGTGACTGATCTGCACCAGGCCGGCACAGCTTAGATTATGGACTTCAAACATGAAAAACTTCCATTAAAGCTGTAGTGCTAAGCAGGAAGCATTACAAGGTGTAAGCCAGCTCCTACGTGTCCCAACAGCTCCAAAGCAGCAACCTCAGATGACCAGTATTTGTTTAACATATTTTATGGACCCTGAATTCTGTAGTGAAAATTGTTGCCTGTCAAAACCGGCAGCTTTTGTAGTCAGGCTAATCGGCTTTCCAGTACCGGAAAACACCCGGAGCTAAGGAGGGTAAGTCCACGGAAAGACTGGCTGTGTGGAAAGTATGCCTAGAAAGCTGCGTCACTCTTCAGCGACTTGGCACACCTGCCTTACAGCCAGGGTGGGGTGATTTGAGGCTGTAGAGTAACTTTCTGAAGACCATGAGATGTAGTAGATACAGTAGCAGATGCTTGCTTTCAACACCTGACAATCTCCTGACATTTGACATGGGTGGAGTAGGTAAACAAGATGTTGATTCTAGGCTTGTGTGTGTGTGTGAACATTAGCATACAGTTCACACTGGTCTGACTAATAAACTGAAACTCCTTAGGACCACCACATCCACACATCATCATAATAGCCACCATTCACTTTCACTTACTTAAGACTGACTCAGAGCCTACAGATAACCCACATTACAACACTTTATGTGCAACATCCAGCTACAGGATTATTCATGCATATCCTACAGAATAGCTGAAATAGAGAAATGTAAAACACGTGGGCATGGGTGGATCTAATCTGGTTTTCAAGCTTGAATAGATAAAGCAATATTCAATCCAGTTATGGGGTCGGAGAGATGATAGCATGAAGAGAGGGATTATTATTTCCTCTTTTCAGATCTTAAAATAGCTCCTGCTGCCTTCCGCAAAATAGATTTAAATCCATATGTTCTACTCCTTCGCATGGTTTTAATGATGAAGGCCATAAATACATTTGATTTAGGAAAGAAGAGAATACTTAATCAGTGTATTGAGACAGTTCTTCATTTGAGATTATAATGTGAGACGGGTTTTTTTTGGATGAGTGGGCTTGTTTGTCTGAATTTTGTCTGAGTTGTATGTATGTAAGTGAGCCAGTGTGGGACATAGACAGTTGCCTTGGTGACTGGACTTTTTTTTTTTTTACATTAGCAGTGATACATAACTATGGCAACAGCGCCAGTATTTTTCACATTTCTGAAACCACCTCAAAATGCAGGGTTAGGTTGGCCTCATTGATCGTGTAAAAATATTCTCATAACCTGACTGCTGTGAATGACATGGAACAATATTTAAGATAATGCCATGCTGTGGAGTAAAATGAAAGTCAACTTAAAAAGCATCCTTTTGTTTTTACTGGATTAGGAGGCCTGCTTTATTTCACAGAAATCTCTCAAGAAAACACAAATTATCAGCTCAACACCCACAGGTTTACTCTAAGTGTAATCGGGCTTAATGTTAAAGGATCAAAGTAGAGGTTTTGCAATGTCCTGAAAGAACTAATAAATCCTGATTGACCTCAATAGTGCACAGGAAAGTGTGAGTTATGATGTAAGAGCTGGTGTGACTAATCTTACTCTGATGATAACGCCTGAATGCACAGTTCTTGTGGCATACGTGGCGGTACACACACAGGTGTTTGTTTATGTGTGTGTGTGTTTGCTACAAGGAGGTCTTTACTGTATACATGGTGGTGTATAAACACATGGTAAGAAAATCGTCACAGTTCAAAGGTTATGGAATTTCTTGCCTGATTGTCATTCCAGCTACTCAAGTGGCTTTAAAAGGCTTTCTGTTGCAGGATGTCATCTCATGCTGCAAAAGAAAAGTCACCAAACCATGAAACAGGATGTGTAAAAAAACACACATTTGATTCTGCAGTAGAGCACATGCACTCTCATTCTCCCTGCAGCAATAACAGACGTGCGTGTGGTCCTAAAATAACCCAGACAGGAGGAACAAATCAGAAGAAGGTAGGAATTTATACTGCATGGATAATGTTTTAACATAAGGTTCAAACAATGGATAGAGAAAGGTATCACTGATCTATGGACGATACTCAAAGATATTTACGGTTAGATCACATGTCATCTCAGCCTTGTACTGTACTAAGCCTTAGGTCCAATGAGAGTAAGCTCAGTGTTATACATGGGGATCAGGGCTAAATCTTGTATTATAATGGTACAAAATGTGTATAGGCCTACTATAAGTCAGTATACTACCACACAGCCCAGATCAAAAGCAAGTAGTTAACTACGCACCGACCATGTTGGAGGCTCTTTGGCAACCTGCAGGCCAACGACACTCATGTTTTTTTGGGGCAAACATTTGCATTTCTGGGACTATGTAAATGCAACCATAAAACCATAAAAAAAATCTGCCATTTTAAGCAACTGTGCCATGATGTGCCTGGGGAACATCGAGGAGGATCATACCGGTGAAACCACGGGGCTGTTTCCTGCAACAACACACACAGCATGTCATATGTTCAAAGACTATGAAGTCACAGCAGGTTATGCAACCCTCCTTGAACCCTGTTCAACAGATCGATCAGATAAGAACACGCAGCCACCAGAAAGGATCGAGTGGCAGTTGATCAGAGGGAGAATTTACGACACAATACATGTACACTTGAACACACTGTGCCCTGTCCTTCTAGCGTGGCCCATTTTCATATCAGGCCGGTGGTAGCTTTACCTCTATAGCTGTAGTAATCCTGCTGGCACTGTTTTAATGTGGAGTCTTATCATCGATTTAACCTTTGTCTCTGCAGGTTTAATGAACATCAGCTGAAATGTATAACTTAAACCAAGTGATCTGCATGCTGGTGTATGACTAGATAGATAGATTGATAGATAGATACATACATACATACATACATACAGAAACAGTGCAGAATACTTGCTGATCCTATGCCAGTTTTGTTTTGGACAGGACCAGATGAGGACTGAGATTACATAAACCATCAGTGGTGTCAGACATTTTTGACTTATTTCTCACCAGCTGCCATCAGGGGTTTGTTTCAGGACATCAACAGCCGTTCTCAAAGTTTATTTATATCACTAAATCCACAGAAGACTGTTGTCTGTTGAGCAGCATCACATATTTATACAGATGGGCAATAAATTCAAGTCCCCTTGAATGCACCTGGAGCAACAAACAGCATTCGTCCCTCTTTTGGTGTTTTGTTGATGGTGGTGGAGAGCGCTGTTATTGTGCCAGGTCACACCAGCATTTATAACAGCATCATTCTGGGTCAAAATCAGCTCATATTGATTATATCACCTTGATAAATTGATTCATTTAATTGTACCATGTGATACACCTGTGTGGAAACAACTTCATTCTTTTTTTTTTCTTTAATTTGTCACCTGTGTTGTAACTGGTAGTTAAATGGGAAGTTGGATGTAATATTAACAGATAATATTTAAGGAAGTCCACACAAAGATAGCAACTCTGTGAGAGGTACCCAGAGGAAAAGAAGTGTGTGGTTTCCGACAGTTCCCACAACCTTTGTGCCTGATTTAACGGACAGAACCTCAGCTGTCAAACTCATAGAAACATCCACTGTGAAGATAAAATTTCTGAGCACTTCATGTGAGAGTGGGTGAGTAGGTATGTGAGCATGACTTAGTGAATCTTGTGTGATCATTTTGAAAGAGAAACCACTTCTCAGCCAGTCAGACCCCCCCCTATAAGACGCAGGGGGAAAGATAAAAGATATTAGAATAATAGCACATTCACACTCTTGC